GAGATCAGATTCATGCCGTTCGGGGGAGGAAGAAGAATTTGCCCTGGGATTGGGGTGTCGATGCTTCATCTGCAGTATTTTGTGGCGAATTTGGTGAGGATGTTCAAATGGGATGCGGTGGGTGAAGTTGATCTTGAGGAGAAGCTTGAGGTTTCGATCATCATGAAGACGCCATTGGAGGCTCGCATATCAGCTCGCTAACAGTTTAGTTTTGTATCCAAACAAACAAGGGTTTAAACATCCAAGCATATAAATGTGGAAATCTCAATTTTATGAAAATTAGATAAAAATATAGTCGATGTAAATGAATATTTAAAGATTACCAAAAAAAAAAAAATATTCCCTCCCTTCTAAATAAGTTAAAAATATCAACATTATATTTTGCAGATTTTTTTTTTAATATTATGAAATAGACGATTTCAAATCCCTAAATATGGTAGAAATATTACTTGTTACTGAAAATTTTATATCTTGATTTCAAATTCTGAGTGTAAAAAAAGTTCACTTGTATCTGACATAGTAAAATATGGTCGAATCTAGATTTTCATAGATTTGTTACTAATTCCACCAAAAAGGTTTCATAATGGTGGAGATATTGTCCCTTTACTGATTGTATACCATGAACCTCAGGTCCTCTATTCGAGTGACGAGGAGCTCAATCTCTTTTCTTTGCCTGTTGAATAAAGGACCATCGAATCTCTCCTCAAATAACTCTACACAAGGACCATTGAATCTCTCCTCAAATAACCATACACATACATATATCTTCGGACATATTGAGAGGTGTGCTCAACATAGGCTAAATTATATCTTCGGACATATTGAGAGGTGTGCTCAACATAGGCCAATTTAGAGCGGATTACACAACACAACTACATTTTTTAGACTCCCATTTTACCTAAGATGGTTCCACTAACACAAATTGACGACATATTTGAGAGTGATTTTGGCATGATCAAAATTATTTCAAAATGAGATATTTGACAATAATTTTCAAGTGATTCTCATTAAATCGTCTGGGAGATGATTCCCAAGTGATTTTTGGTCCAAAAAATTAATAAGAATTAGTTTTTAAAATGGTTATTATTTAAAATTTTAAATTTGTCTTTCTATTTCACCATATTTTCCCCTCAAAAATTGAGAAATTTTATCTTTTTCATTTCTAAATTTTTTTTTTCACTCTCTAATTTATCTTTAATTTTATTTATTATCTTTAAATAAAATTAAAATTTTGTAATATATCTCTAAATTTGTAGTTTCCATCTCTATCTAAAATTTTTGTCTCTTATTCTTTAAAATTTCTCTCCAAGATTTTCCTTCTAACTTTTCTCTCTAAAAATTTTGTCAAATTCTTTATTTAAATTTCAAATATTAATCATTTAAAATCACTTGAAAATGTGTAACCAAAAGTTAAAATAACTATACAAAAATCACTTTCACAAAATCAATTATCATTAAAATCTCTATTGCTAAAATCATTTCTAAATTGGCCTAAAATTACTTGTAATATACTGTAAAACATTAAGGTATGTTTGAAAATATTAGAGTATGGTTGACCAAAATCACATTCGTCCAAATCACTTCCATTTAAAATAGTAAGAGTGATTTTGGCACGCTCAAAATCACTTTTGCCATTATCAAAATCACTCTCCTTTCCATTTATCATGTTTAACAATTTAAGAAATTGATTTTAGGGAAGCTTAAAATTACTTTAAATTGATTTTTAAGGTATAAGTTGGATTATGATTTTGGAAAATAAATCAAACTTAAATCTCTTTTTTCAAAATCATTAATTCTACCATCACCTTAAACTTTTGAGTTCAGAGAAATTTAATATGATATCTAAGCACAAGATTTTATGTTTAAACTCTCGAAAATACCATTTCCTCCCAATATTTATTTTTTTTAATACAATATGTGAGACGTGGAGATTTAAACTCACGATCTTCTGATCGAAAATAAGTGATTTAACCCAGCTATGCTTAGGTTGACCCTAATTAATATGGAAAAATGATAATCATTGTGTCAAAATATCACTCTTAGTCTAATCTCCTTATTTGTCAATATTTACTTAACACTAAAAAAACTTATGATCAAAATAAATTCTTTTTGTACAACATGTGGATGAGAATTTGAACCCACGACTTTTTACTTAACATATGTACTTTAATCAGTTAGATTATATTCTGGTTGACATTATTAAAATAAATGTTAAATAAATGTTATATCAAGATGATGTGTACTATACTAATGGAATATAAATGTGTCATACTCTTATCTTAAGATTTTTCTAAAAAAATATTATCATAAACGTCACCTATGGCCCCTTTATTGTCTTTTATTGATTACGAGAGAAGCTAAGATGAAAGGATTTTTTTTAATAATGCTATTTTCGAGAGTAATAATGAAAATATGCCACTTCTCAGACTATTTTTGAAAATGATATTTTGGAAATAGAATAGACGACTTGTGAAGTGGCAAATGCAAAGCGCCACGTAAATTTTTCTTTTTTAAATAAGACTTGGTCTGACGACATGTTTGGTGGGATTTCGAAAAATCCCGCTTGATCGTCTCTTCAAAAGACAACAATATTATTCTAAGCAAAAATAAAACAACTATTATATATAGCGCTTTAAAATAAAATGAATACTGTGGTGCAGTAGATAAGAGACTGCAGTAGATAAGAGACTGTTTGGGGAGTCAAAAGACACATGTATTATATATAATAGTTGTTTTGTTTTTGCTTAGAATAATATTTTCGTCTCTTGAAGAGACAAGCGGGATTTTTCGAAATCCCGCCAAACATGTAGAGACGACCAAACTTGAGACAGCCAGCTATTTCCAAAACATTATTTTTGAACATAATTTGAAAAGTGGCATATTTTCGTAATCACTTTCGAAATAAGTATTATTAAAAGAAAAAAAATCCCTGAACATATTTATCAATTTTATAAATCATAAGTAAAAAATTTGTCAACATATAAAGATCTAACATAAGATTCGAGATTCAAATTTCTACCTAACATGCSATTAATCAAATAAAGAATAAGAAAGAATTATAAAAATAACACAAAAGAAATATGTATTTATATATATAGTATTATGTTTAAATTTTACAAAAATGATATAAATTGCAAATTTATACAATCACATGGGACAAACTAAAACTCACTTATTCTTGACATTTTTTAAAAAACAAAAGTAATGATTGTATCTATTTTATAACCTTTAGTATAATGTTAAAAAAGTAAATAGTTCCTAATATTCAATTATGGTAGTTCTATCCTTTAAAATTTTAAATTATATTAAATCAATAAGGTCTTTCTACCAAAAAAAAAGATCTTAAGATTTTTAATAGCTGATGTGTTACTTCTATTATCACATTTGAACACGTGAATATGTAACTAAAAGAAATAGTTTTTGTTGAAGGTAGGTCAAATTTTGCAGCAAAATGATAATCAAAATCAAAAGCCAACAAGTAGCTCATCGTGATCATGCCTCTAACCAAAGGTCATGAGTTACAATTCCTCTATTCTATTTGTTGTACTAAACAAAATATCCCAGTTGAAAATTGTTAATTTTTTGAAAATTTTACAAACTAAAATATATATTTTAAGAGTTTACGTACTAAAATAGTTACATCTTTTTTTTATAAGTTGAAAAACTAAAACAAATTTAAAAATTAGAGGACAAAAATGTGATTTAGACCTTCATTTAATTATTTTCCATTTTCAATTTTGGCCACTTTATTTTTTCTCTATTTGCAAATTCAAAATATTGTTGCCATTTTGTAACATATTCCATTCATGTGCTTTAAATAGTCAATCATTAAAAAGTTTCATACCTAAATTTTGAATTAAAATAACTTCACCACACCTAAATTAGAAAAAAGAAAAGAAAAGAAAAAAAAAAACTCACATGTCTGCATTTTGTCCATCATGTTTAGAACAAAATTAAAAAAGATTTAAACATAATTCAAACTCTAGGGAGAGATTAAAAGCTTTTTCAAAGAACCAAGTAAACACATACTTTTAAATAATTAAAACAACAGAAATAAAACATAAAGTAGAGATCAAATGTTACTACAAATCCTCATTGTAATCTTAATTTTCTCTAAACTTTAAAACCATAGTTCTGTATTATTCCATACCTAACAACATTCAGCTTCTGAATTGTTTACACATAACATAACAAAGTGTTTAGAACCCAATAAAAACAGAGCTGCAAAGGGACAAGAAGACAAGAATACAACAGAATTCTCCAACGACCCGCACGCTCGCTCGCATAAACCGAATGCGAACGACGAACTAGCTTTCAAAATTTGGGCATCGAAGTTTCTGAGAGATAAAACTTGAAAATTTTCTCAAAGCATCATATGCTGCTTTCAATTATCTGTGGAGAATTATATTTGAGGATGAACTAAGAATATGCGAGAAAAATCGAAACAAACGTGGCAGTAGCAGATAACTAACCATGAGGAGATTTTGAACTCGTGGTTGACATGTCGGACGAAGCCATTGGAATTGATATCGAGAGCTGCGTTGTGGAGAAGGAAGTTTGGTTGGATCTTTCGTCGTCGAGTCCAGTCCACGACTCCCTGGCTCTCGGCCACTCGTCAAAGAATGGCTGAAGGGATTGACCTTCTTGTTTCAGAGTTTCTCCAGATGCAAATTCGCCACCGAAGAACGAATGCTGCGGATATCCGCTTTGGAAGATAGAGTTATCGCTCGATTTCGATGCCGGGAAAGACGGGGATCTTGATGGCATCATTGGCCATGTGTTGTCCATTGGAGGATCCATCTGAACAGCCCTACTGCTTCCTGATGCCTCAGAGAAGAAACTATGCACTCCAGCCTCAGGTCTAAGCCCTTGAAGATACCTAAAACCCAACAAATTCATAAATAAGTGAAGAGAATTTCAATATATATAAACCTCATATCGTCACTACAAATTTAACCTCCAAAACAAAATCATCAATGTAAATTCTTCCATTTTCACTAGTAACAAAATGGAGGCACAACCGAGCATCGGGGTCGCTTGGTTACTTGATTTTCATCTATATCGAACGACAGCATGATGAGATCTGAAGCAGTAACTCCTCACTCTTCTCCGCTAAATGAAAAACTCTTTGCCAGACTAATGCCCTGCCTACATTCTCCTGTAAGCTTCAATAACGTAATCATGTACCGCAAGCCATAATGTTATAGGGACGATGAATCAGCTGATCAGGCCTCTAACCAGTTGGTTTTCCTATGTCATATGGTTAATGTCCAGTTCTAAATGGTGCAAGCTCTTCATTTCTTGTTCTCTAAAAGACATTCCTTCGACTAATTTTTTGCATATTCTAAGAAAATACTAAAATGAGGCTATCATGAGTCGTGACCAATAGGAAAAATCGAGTTGACTGATTGACCTAAAAAGGAATATCAAAAATTCGAGTGGCTGAAGAAAAGGAAACCGTGGTGGCAGCAGAGACATAATTAGCAGACATATGATGTATGAAAGTGGAAAAGATAAGATGTTAAAGGAGGCTTAAGGCCATTAAATTAACTTAATTAAGGCTAAAATTAAGGTTTAAGGCTTAAGGCCAATAAAAAATCATAAAGGATGCAATGATGACCAGAAGTTAGAAACATTAATATTGTAAGCTTCGTTTGAAGAACTTAATTTTTAGGCAGTAGGATCGGGTTCTCAAACACATCTTTTGACTAACAAGGACACTGAAAGTAGAAAGAATATAAACTATGGAACAGAGAATAAAAAATATAGATGTTTCTCTTAGATCAGAACATAAGAAGAACAAGGAATCCAAAATATATGAAAGAAAAATCAAAATATTTCAGCAACAACCAAGTGGTAAAAGAGGGAAAAGTAAGATATATACAACTGCCTTCTTTTAAGACTTGAAGTGATTGAACACAGTTAAGTTGAAAACTAGAAAGAGTCCCGGTTCCGTAATAATTTCGTTTCTAAAAATTAAGCTTAAACTACTTGTATCTAAATTTTCTGTCTAGTTTAGAAAGAACATGTTTCTGAAAACTACTTTTTCTTTTTGTAGTTTTCAAACAGAAGAAAACAAAGAAAACCAAATGCAAAAACATTAGTAAATGGGGCCTAAATGAACAAATAATCAACATACATAAGTGAAGTGCACTATTTTAAGTTAGAGTGTTGAACTATGATGCTAATTAGAAGAGAGCAAACCACATAATACTGGTGCAAACTCCGAGATATGAACCCAAAAAATTGCTCGAAAATAAGTTGACAGAAACTGAAAGCTTTATAGAGGCTCACGGTTTAACTATAAAGCTCCATAAGATCAGTCAGCTCACACAACAACAGTTTCCTTTAAAGCAGAAAAGGCAGATAGGAACAATTAGAACCAAATAGCAAGAGTTCAGAAGAACACATAATAATTGTCAGAGTTGTTCCCTGTGAGTATCAGAACTGAACTCCGCAGCAATCTCATGGATGCTAGGACCCAATGTGTTGGACCGTGACGAAAAGAAAACAGATAATGACAAGAACCTTTTAACTTCTACTCAAAATTTTAAGAATCGGCATTGAAAAAACCAGATCAGGGCAAGATTCATCAGCTAAAGTTACAAAAGTTAATTCCAACGATCTAGCAAGGGAAAAGGATATAACTCCTCAGCAATACTGATTCCAGTATGTCAGCAAAATATGGAACATTACTGTAGTCTACATCAGACAAATTAATTTTTAGAAAAAAAAGAAAAGATGAGATGAGAAAAGTCACAGAGAGAGAGAGAAAGAGGAAAAAAAAGAGACAAATTCAACTTTATAGAGCACTACAATTGGAGCAGCACTGACATTTCTTTTTCTCTGTCTTCATATTTTTTAACATAGAGCTAAGGTATAACCAATGGGGTTAATACAGTTGTTTAACAGCAAGACAATTTTTATTACAATGTCAGGCCCGCATCAAATAGAGAAAACATAAAAGCAAGGCAACATAGGCAGAGAGGAGAAAAAAGAGTCTGTGAAGCATGCATACTTAAGATAACCAAAAAACAATTTATGGACAAAAGAAATGAATAGGGCCCAAAGAGTTGTATCCAAAAGAATGGAAAAAGGTCTGCTGAAACATTCAATAAAACATATGGCACAGAAGAGCACAGTTTGGGCTCCCACCACATAATTTCAATATGGTCCCCAAGAATGCAAACATCATATGCCTGCTTCAAAACACAGCTATACTTAAAAAAATTTTATCTAGCAAATAAATGCATGCATATGTAATGCCCATGGAGAGACAGAAATTTCACACCCATTTGAAAATCAGCTACCATATACATATATATCCATACTTTCTCCTTTAAGGAATGGAAGACGGTCAACATCATGCTTTTTCATAAGTGAATACTCAACTTGGCATTGGCTATTGGATATAAATGTTCATAAATTCTTGTATTATCAATTACCATATGGTTTGACAAAATGGAGTTGCAGTAAGAATTTACAAGTACCTATAATCTTTGCTTGGGATTCCATAGGGAATGGAGTCCAACGGGTAGTGAGGCTGGCTGGTCCCAGTGGCAGTGCCCTGAGAATTGCTCAAGGGATTCAACGGAAGGCCATGGAAGCTTCCAGCTCCGCTGCTGCTGCTGCTTCCGGTAACAGTAAGAGATGTCACAGTGGACGACGACTGTGTCATTGTTTGAGATTCCACAGGCTTTCTTGAACGGTTGCGGCCACGGTGCATGTGGCGCTCACAGTACTTGGAGTCCGGGTATGCGTCTTTAGAGCACCTCCATTTCTTGCCATCAGTCCTCCTGCATCTTCCAGGCTCTGGGTCCACCTTCTTCCCGTAGAATGAACAATAAGCCACTACAAAAATTGCAACTCAAGCCTTACAAAATAAATCTCCAGAACCAAAACATGAACTGTAACACTAACACATGCTTGGTTTTCCATACCTAAAACAATGATGCTAAAGAATGAAGGATATTGATTCTAGACTAAAGATTTTGGGCTTGAATCTTAATTATGCTTTCAGATCACATAAAAAAAGGAAACCCCAAAATGAAATTATGGTCAAAGATTGAAATTGACGAAGGGTTTATTCGCATGTGCTATAGTTGGATTTGAAACCAGAGGAAACATAGCCATTTAACTATGGTTATTTCTCAATATAAGAACTAAATACCAAACCCCATATACATTCAGCAGACAAATGCCATCGTTTTTCACACAACTTGCATATTGATTCATAGCTTCTAGTACATCAAGGCAATCACAAAACAAGATAAAAGGGGAGAGTAAACACAAGGTTTTGAAGTGTGTGGTGCAAGGGGAACCTAAAAAAAGCATCATGAACCCATTATAAATTGTAGTTAAAAAATGACATCGAGAAAAAGAAAGGGGAAAAAAGGGGAGGAACTAGAAGAGAACGAGATCCCCAAAATCAAATCAGAACATATTCAGAAACCAATCAAACTGACAGCCCCAGAGCGAGAGAGAGAGAAATAAAGAGAGAAAATGAGAGAGAAATAGAGAGAGAGAGAGAGATAGAGGGTTGAGGTAAGATTACTGGTGGGATGATGGAAGAACCTATGAGAAATGGACTCGAAGCTCTTCTGAATAGGGAGTACAAGATCAGGTGGCACAGGCAGACCTGCCATCATATATTTGAAGATCAGAGCCTGGTGCTCCAGCTCCTGCCACTGTGACACTGTGAAAGGTGACCTATTCATCCCCATCATTCCACTTGCTGTTGCTGCTGTTCCCCCTAATACCACTGTCCTACCCCCATCCTCACCCACACCACCACTGCTATTCATAATAACCAGTCTCCTCCGCCGCCGCCGCCGCCCCCCACCACCACCACCAGTTTCTCTGCAACTATTCCTCAAAACCCACCACACCCCCTTTCACAAAACACCCACAAAACCTCAAACAGAGTCTGAGACAGAGAAAATCATGGGACATAGATCAGCCAGCAGCCTCTGTCTCCACCATCTGGATTGCTCTCACTGTCACTCTCTGTAGTGTTTGTTTTTAGTGTCCGAAGGTTTGTGTGGGTAAAGGGGGGGCAGTATCTGTGGAGGAACCGAAGGCCAAGTTTGGTCTCATTTTTATTTTTTGGGTATTTGGGAAATTTGGGATTTTGGGGTATTGGGGGTTTCAACTTTCAACTTTTGAAGAGATTAGCTTTCTCTTTCTCTTTCTCTTTCTCTTTCTTTTGGGTAATCTTAACTCTAATGGCTGTGGGTTTAATTAAATTAAGCTGATTCCATTAAAGCCAGAGGCATGATTGATTGTGGTATTGGAATCTGGGAGATGGGCTGTTTGGGGGAAGTGTTCCAATCATGGCTGTGCTGTTTCTGGGTGAATTTCAGCCCCGACCACTGTTTTTCATTTTCACCACCCATTGGACTGGATGCCGATACTGCTGCTCTTTCTTCTTCTTCTTCCCTCTTCATTGGTAAAATTTGAGTACTACATCACATGCTCATATTTTAAGCTTAAATTAAAAAAGAAAAACCCTTGACTTTATCCTCTATTTTAAAAATATCCTATTTTTTTCAAAAGTTTCATACTGCTCTTAACCTTTTATAAAGGTTTCAAAAATATTCTTTCAACAAACATGGTCGTAGAATTTGAAACAATGTAGAATTTGAAACAATGTGGCAGTTAACCTGAAAAACAAACTATCTTGACAATACAGGAGGAAGATTTTTAAGCAAAATTGAAACGCTAATTGCTACTTTGTTCTAGATTATATTATGCCAATTTTCAGTCAAAATATTAACAATGTATTTTTAAAGGTTTACGAAAAGTTAGAGTAATATTGAAATTTTTGAAATGAAGTGATATTTTTAAAATAAATGACAATATTAAGGTTTTTTTTTAATTTAGTCTATTTTAAATTATTATTGTAAAATTTAGCATTTCCATTATAGCCACACCATCTATCTCATCTCTCATCTCTCATCTCTCATCTCTCATCTCTCATCCATGTATATATTTTTTTAATTATTTCTTACCAATTAGCCTTGCTTTATCATTATTTTCTTTCATTCTAAGTTTTGTTAAAAGAAATGTATATGATGTCATCAATTTTATTTTATATTTTTTTAGGACAGCTAACTTGAAGAATCAATTTAGAAAAATTAAAGTAAAACTTTCCAAGATGACTTTTTCCAATATATTGGGTAATTCCTTTTTTTTTAATATACATATAGTCTATGACATGTTGTGACTTGTTTTCTGTTTTTTTTTTTTAATTTTTTGTGAAATTGAAAATGGATTATATTTTCTTTTAAGAAAAAAAAATTGAAGACTACTTCCAGTTTTTTTTTAAATGGTTAAAGTTATAAAATAGAAACTAACTATTGTCTCGTGAGATTTGGCTGTGGTGATGACTATGCTTGTAAGGTGGATATTAATATGTATTAAAATAGTCAGAGTTGTCTTTGAATCGTCTATTCTACTAGATAAATCTTACTCATCCTCTTGACACGGTAGTTCAGTACAATTGAATAACCAACACTTCAAACAACGATATATACCTGTCACAGCTCAACACAACTCACATTAAACAACCATGGTAGCATGTCCTATTAACCTAACACATGGTAGCATGTCCCTTCCAACTCAAAGTCATTTTGACTCTATTCATCAAGGCATTGTTATTTGCCTACTGTGGATGGACTTCTGCACTCAATTTGGACGTTTTACTAAAACTTTTGTCACTACATAGTAGATCTCTTTCCTCTCGTAACTCTCAGTCTGTCAGACTTGATCTTATCTCCATAGGAGTTTGCTCTCTATTATAATTTATACATCAAATAACTTCATAATCTAATTAAACTTAATCAACATAAGAGTTCCACCTGCAATTCAACGCATCTCCTATAGATATAGATATAAACTTTCTCCCTGGAATACAAAATCCCATTTTTTTGCCATTATGCACTTAACTTAATTGTCAAACTCACTCCATCAAATATTACACTGTTGAACCTCTCAAAATGATCCTTTTTACTTTGAATGGTAACAAATGATCATGACATAGATTTTAGCATCTCTATATACTTCATTCTACTATGTGTCTTTTTCTTTTGGTAGCTTGAGCATGATGGCATGTCATGCGCTTAGCCTCAACCATCCCCTCAAAGTCATCTTTAATATGGGCTCGAGATTCTTCCTATTGCTCCAATGCTCTATTTTAAGATCTCTATTGATCCCTTGGCCTTGTACCACCAATGTTGATCATCCCATTAGTGCAAAGTCTCATGGCTTATGTTTTCATTAACTTTAACTAAATGAGGATCTCGAGAGATAGAGTCTTAGTCAATGTTTTAAATGTCGTGGTTTCGATTTCATGGCAATGTTGATGGAAATATCGATATAATGTTGATGTCGATGGATATTTATGTAAAATTATAAAAAAATCGTAAAAGTATATGTATTAACAAATAAACATTTCACGATTTCTAGATAAGTTAAAAATGATTAATATTAATATTCTGCCTATATAAGTGATATTTTATTGATATTTTTCATATTTTGTCAAATTTTTTTTGTAATAATTATGGAAATATTGATTTACGCCTTGTGTTGATGTCGAACCTATAGATACAAAGAAATTTCGATGGAAATGTCGATATGTCGACATATATTTAATACCATATGGTCTTAGTTGACATAATGATCTGCCTTCTCTTGACATTTCTCCTTCTCCCTATTTGTAAGAAATGATGAATTTGATGATTATAGCTAAAGTATAGGTGACATGCTAAGACAAGGATGGTGTCTATCATAAGTTACCTATTAGTTATATGATGTGTATTGCTCAACACTAGGTACGATGATACTATGGCACTCGATACATCTTTCTTACTATCAATTCATATAAGTGGTTGGGTATCTAAGTTTAACCGAGCGTCATATACCAATAACATTAATTGCTTTGAGGTACCCGATCTTTGGGTGTCTAATCTAATTAATTAAACGCACATTATATGCACTAGTTTGTAGTTAGTGTGTCAAGCTTAAATAATCTCCCTAACGTTGTCTTCAATTGAGAATGAACATATTCAGTTGTTAGTGAGGTAGACCATGATCTGAGTAAAAAAAAAATATCGCTCGTTTAGTAATTCTTTCCAAAAATATGTTTATATTCTTATATGGATTAGATTACCTATTTTTTTTACTTGAGTTTATTTATTTAATCTCTAAACTCTAGAAAAAAATCCAATTGTATCCTTAGACTTTACAGGTATGTTCGTATCTATCCATTCAACATTGAACAAGCTTAAACAATACATAAAGAAATTGTTAAAAGAACATGAAAAAAAAAGGACACACTCAACAATATATCTTCATTTGTCTTTGCCCATCTAGAGGTTTAAATTTTAAGGGAAGGAAAAGAAAAAGAAAACCCAAAACAAATGGGTTGTGAAAAGGAAGGACAAGGGAGCATTTAGGAGTTGGCACTTCCAATCAAACATTATTCTCCAAGTGGTAGCTTTCTTTCTTAGGGCTCTATTAAACTCAAACTATCTTCTTCCAATCTAATCTATCCATCTTTTCAACTTTATGAGAGGCTTAATTAATATTCTTTGTAATGAAAAGCCATTGCCATATTACATCACAACATGTGTTCAATTGCAAAAGTTGCTTTGGATTGAATTGGAGTACCCTTTGGTAATTTGTACTATGTGGAACCATTTCTTTATTTGGAGTGTGGCATCTACCAGAACTCTTGAGATTTAAGACATGTTTTGGACCTAACTTTTTAATATAGGGTTTTTTTTTTTGTATTTTAAACTACTATATATAAAACATAAATAATATCTTTGGTGTTCCCCTTATATTTAAAGTTTTTATTAATAGCAACGCAAAATTATGATCGTCCAAAATTAGAATCTAGTTTATAGACAAGTATATAGTCCTACTTTCAACTTAAGTTTATTAAGAAAAACAATAAACAAATAAAAAAGTTAGCATTTAGAAGCAAATATTATATAAAAGAAAAAGTTAAATATCTAATAGGTAATGAAGACTTCATCTATTAGCTTAAGCTTAATCTTATAATTTTTCCTAAAATTTGAGAGTGGCTACTAACAGATATATTATCTATACTCCCTGCTTCATTTCAAACTTCTTTTCTTTAAGGTCATCTCATCACCTGCTAGACTAAGCTTTCTTAACTTGCCTTCTCGCTATTTGAAAAGCATAATCTAGCTCTTCTAAGGTAAGGTACATCTTTCGCCTAGTTTAGATCCTTTTGCATCAAGATATATTAAGTTAGATTTAGAAAATACACAAAAGAAGTTCATGCCTCAAAGCAACAAATGCACCTGATTAAATTGCACTATAATAGTCATCGCATTGAACTCCTTATGTTGTAGCCCTATTGAAAAGCAATAAAAAGATTTTTCCTATTTTACTCGTACTTTTAAAAGATGGAACATCTATTTGTCATGCTTTCGAGATGTTGGAGAGCTTCACAAAGTCAAGGATTATATCCTTCTTTTTGATATGCTAAACTAGGCATGATTCAATCTTTTGAGACTCGAGGGAAAGACCGAATAATTTATTATACGTCCTATCTCACTATAAGAAATTGTTAACAATAGAGATTAGTCACCTAAAGACCTATTGTCCATAGAATCACTAGTTTCTTTTGAGATATTGAATTTGAGACCCAAAAACCTACAAGGTGGCTGAATTTTACTAGTGTCTAATACGAAAGGTGATTTGTTAATGGCTTGATAATGGTTGTATCTCTTTTCATAGTCTTGGGTGATGTCCAATTTCTTTCGATTTTTGTGAGCTATTTAGAGTTTATGCTTCATATTATTCTCTTTTATCCATTTGCATCACTGGGAGTAATAGATTGTTCTATGGGTTTCTCACCCTTTGGATGTTACCTTAGCCAAGCTACTCTTGGAGGGTTTTACACAATCTCCAACTTGACCATGTTGGTGATCTTTCTAGCATTAGTAGACCTATTGTCAACCTCTTTGTTACAAAATTCACGATACAAACTCTTCATTCATATCCATAGTCTAATCCAATTCTTCCCGCTTTAATTAAGATACTTATTTCTAGCTTCAAGTTTTTAAGGGCTACCATCGACTCCAGCTTGAATTTTGAGGCCATCAATATTGTTTAAAGGAATTGA